ACCCTTCCTCTCTTGCTTCAGTGGGAAATGGAGGCGCCCCCCACCTTTATCTCTTTGGAGTGGCCAGAGACATGGTTGGCTTTCCTTTTTTGCCTTTAAAAATGTGTTTATGAGAGACAGGTGGGGTGGTACACGCCTATAACCCCAGCAATCTAGGAGGCTGAAGCAGGAGGATCGAAAATGAGCCCAGCATTGGAACTTAATAACTCAGTGAGACTCTGTCTCAAAATTTTATTTTATTTTGTTTTATTTTTTACTATGAAATGCTTTAATGGTGTGTGTGTGCAGGATACGATGTCAAGACAGACACAGCGCGCACAGTGAGACAGGGTTCTCAGGGCAGGCTGTGGGTGAATAAAGAGTTCACACCGCTTCCACACTTTACCAGCTAGCAGCTCCAGGCCACCTCCTCCTCCGCCTCCTCCTCGAACTCGCCCTCCTCTTCAGCGGTGGCCTCCTGGTACTGCTGGTACTCGGACACCGGCTCGTTCATGTTGCTCTCGGCCTCAGTGAACTCCATCTCATCCACGCCCTCGCCCGTGTACCAGTGCAAGAAGGCCTTGCGCCGGAACATGGCTGTGAACTGCTCCGAGATGCGCTTGAACAGCTCCTGGATGGCCGTGCTGTTGCCGGTGAAGGTGGCAGACATTTTTAGCCCCCGGGGTGGGACGTCACAAACGGCTGTCTTCACGTTGTTGGGGATCCACTCGACAAAATAGCTGCTGTTCTTGCTTTGGATGTTAAGCATCTGTTCATCCACCTCTTTCATGGACATGCGGCCCCTGAACGCCGCGGCCGCTGTGAGGTAGCGGCCACGGCGGGGGTCGCAGGCAGCCACCATGTTCTTGGCATCCAACATCTGCTGGGTGAGCTCGGGCGCCGTCAAGGCGCGGTACTGCTGGCTGCCACGGCTGGTCGGGGGGCAAAGCCAGGCAGGAAGAAGTGCAGGCGGGGGAAGGGCACCATGTTCACGGCCAGCTTCCGCAGGTCAGCACTGAGCTGGCCCGGGAAGCGCGGGCAGGTAGTGACCCCACTCATGGTGGCCGACGCCAGTGATTCGGGTCACCATGGGTGGGGGTGGTGAGCTTCAAGGTTCTGAAGCAGATGTCACACAAGGCCTCGTTATCAATACAGCAGGTTTCACCTGTGTTTTCTACAAGCTGGTGGACCGAGAGGGTGGCATTGTAAGGCTCGACCGCAGTGTCCGACACTTTGGGTGAGGGCTCCACACTGAACGTGTTCGTGACGCGGTCTGGGTACTCTTCCCGGATCTTGCTGATGCGGAGGGTGCCCGTCCCTCACCCGGTCCCCCCACGCAGGGAGTGGGGCGGCAGGAAACCCTGCAGGCAGTCGCAGCTCTCTGCCTCCTTTCTCACGACGTCCAGCCCCGAGTCCACCAGCTCCGCACCTTCTGTGAGGTGCCCCTTGGCCCAGTTGTTTCCAGCACCGCTCTGAATGAAGACGAAGTTGTCAGGCCTGAATATCTGCCCGAAGCGCCCCGAGCGCACGGAGCCCATGGTGCCGGGCTCCAGGTCCACCAGCACGGCGCCGGGTACGTACTTGCCACCCGTGGCCTCGTTGTAGTACACATTACTGCGCTCCAGCTGCAGGTCGCTGTCTCCGTGGTACGTGCCAGTAGGGTCGATGCCATGCTCGTCGCTGATCACCTCCCAGAACGTGGCGCCGATCTGGTTGCCGCACTGCCCGGCCTGCAGATGGACGATCTCCCTCATGGCGCCGACGGCGGCGACAGCAGAGGCGTTAAAATTGTTACAGGTGCAGAGGAGCAAGCGCGCAGAATGCTTGTTTCAAAATTTTTTTAAAAATGTTTTTTTTAAAGGGCTGGGGATGTAGCTTGGTGTGAAGGCTTTGGTTTAAATCCCCAGTACTGAAAAGAAAAGCTGTCTATGGGAGCATGAGAAACATACAACAGTGTGTGTCATGAAGGTACGGATCAAAGATTTTCACAGAGTTTAATCCCACGTGCTCTGGTTAGGACAAATGTCCCGGAAAGACATGTTCAAGGCTTGGTCCCCAGCCAGGGGTGCTATGGGGAGGTGGTGGAAACTTTAAGGTGCAGGGCCTAGTGGGAGGAAGTGAGGTCACAGGGGGTGTGGCTGGAGAGGGATCCAGACCGTGGCTGCGGCCTCTGCTACCCGCCGCCACCATGTTCTGCTTGGCCACGGGCCCCAAAGCCACCCCTAGCTGGGGTCCTCTAAAGCCGTGAGCCAGAGCAAGCCTTTCCTCCGCATGAGTTGTCTCAGGTATTCTGTCATGGCGCTGCAGGGCTGCACTCTGTACGTCTAGCACCGGACCAAGAACAGGACATCCTCAGCCCCACAGCCCCCAGATCCCCACTGTGCTCCTTTCCACTCGCCCTTACTCAAGGGGCTCCATGACCCCAATTTCTGTCACATAGAATCATTCTCCCTGTTAACAGAACTTCACAGACACAGCACCATACTGTCTGCCCTGCTCTGGACTGGTTTCTTTCCTCTGCTATTAAGCTACAGAGGTCCATGCTGTCATGCCTAGCAATGCCCTGCCCTTTTCCTTGCTGCGTGATATATCGCCACTAAACTACACTATAATTAATCTGTTCATTCCACTCTCATGGACACTTGGCAATTTTCTAAGGTCTTAGTATATTCGTTGTTGCCATAACTGAATGATATATATCTATACTGTCTATATATGTAGTTTGAGACAGGGTCTGGTCATGAAGTTCCGACTGGCCTTGAACTTGGAGTGATCCTCTCCCTCAGCCTCCTGAGTGCTAGGATTACAGGTGAGCACCACCACACCCAGCAACTGAATGCTATAGACTGGGTACTTTACAAAGAAGAGAGGTTTACTCCACTCATGTTTCTGAAAACTAGAAAGTTCTAGATCAGGAGGCTCCATGGAGTATTTTCTTGCTGGTAAGGACTATGTGGGGTCCCAAAGAGGCTCAGGGAATCATTTCATGAGAAGAACCACGTACCTTCCTTGTCTTTTGATAAATCCCCTCAGGTTAGGGTTGCCCCCTCACGGAGCTGGTTACATTTCCATGCTCTTAGTGCCTTGTAACAGGAGCTAAAGTTCCACCTGAGTCTCTGTGGGTGCTCCAGCCACAGGAGGCTCTTTATTCAGGCACGGAATTACTGGGTCACCGAGGCAGTAAGTGTGCAGCTTTAGCAGAGGTAAGAAAGCTCCTACTACCAGTGTTGGGTAGAGCTGCCTCCTAACAGTGTAAGTCAGTACCAAACACTTTTAATGGCCCCCTTAGCTTTTGGAAGAAAGCCCAAAAACACACCTGGTCTTTGGACCCTGATGTCTCCCCCCATCCCAGTTCTTTGTCCCATCGTCATAGAGCTGAGGCCACTTTCCTGAGTGCAACACAGTGCTGGCTCCTCAGGGTCCCCTAACCACTCTCCTCCTCTCCTGGGAAGGCTGTACCTTACATCTTCCACCAGCTAATTTCTACATATATGTAGTTCAGCTCAAATGCTGTCCCCTCCTCCTCTTCCTCCTTACCACCATCATTATTTGTTTTTTTGAGTCAGGATCTTGCTAAGTTGTTCAGACTAGGGTCAAATTTGCAGTCCTCCTGCCTCATTCTCCTGAATGCTGGGATTAATAATTGTGTATCATCACACCTGGCTCAAGCACAGTATCTTGAAGATAACTTTCCTAACTTCCTTCCCAACCTAAATCTGTCATGAGTTTATCACAATTGAATAATGACAAATCCATGTAATGTAGGTGTTCACTTGAGCCATGTCTATGTATCTGCCATGTCCCATTTCTTAACCTGGGTTACAGGTAGATGGTTTCTTGTTCTTTAATCTATACATTCAAAGATATACTTAAAGGTTGAGAATGTAGCTTGTGGTAGAACACTTGCATAGCATGCATAAGGCTCTGGGGTCCATCTCCAGCACAGCAAAAACAAAACCAATCAACCAAAAAACTCATTTATTTATTTATTTTTATCTTTTTTGAAACAGGGTCTCGCTATGCAGTTCAGGCTGGCCTTGAGTTCACTTTGTGGCCCAGGCTGGCCTCGAACTTGCAACGATGCTCCCGTCTCAGCCTCCCAAGTGCTGGGATTACGTGGTGACGCCTGGCAAAACCCCTATATTTAATGTGCATATAACCCTTAACTTCCTTCTAGGAATGTCTAAGTGCTTTGCTAACATTAATTCATTTAATTGAATTCTTAAAATAACCATATTAGAGGCTGGTTTTTACTATTATTTTTTCTGGTCCTGTGTACGAAACCAGAACTTCATGTTCTGGAGCAGTGTTGTTCCAGAACAACACTGCCTAACATGCAACTGCCTAGAGCAACTACCTAGCATTCTACATTGAGCTCTACTCCAACGAGGACATAGAGGAACAGAGAGACCATGCACCCCTTAGAGTCATTCCCTGTATCCTTAAGGCTTCTGAGTGGCTGATTGGCTGATGCTGGAAGAGGGAGGATCTGGAAGAAGTGGCTTTTGGTCCTGGAAGTGGAATAATCACTTCCTTTACACTCCATTGGGCAAAACACAGTCACATGACTCTGGCCAGGCACAAGGAAAGCTGGGAAATGTAGTCTTTCTGTGTGTACAGGTAGAAGAAACAGGTTTGGGGAGACTGTGGCTTTCTGGTCGCCATATTTCCTGAGTACCTGATAAATACCATGTACTTTATCTGTATTATTAGTGCTGATAAATAAATAAATATTGTAAAAGAATAAATGATTTAAAATGAATTTTTAAATAAACAGAAACTAAATTTTTAATTCACAAAAATTTAAATATATTTTTGCAAATATAAGATACATAAAGTGATTATAGGATTGTGTGTGCATGGAGAGTGTGGGGTAACAAAGTAGGGGCTCACCCTATCTCTCTAGAGGGGACAATGGTCCCAGATGGGCACTCCCACTCCCAGACGGAATAGATCCAGCATGCAGGGTAGAGTCCTAACTGCCCCTGATTCTTCTCTTCTTTTTTCCTTTTAGAATTATAGACCCTTGAGTTTTATCTGGGTGCCTGCCTGCCCTGTGAAAGACTACATATCCCAGTCTCCCTTGCAGCTAACTGTGGCCACATGACTATCTTCTGGCCAATGGGATCTGACTATAAGTGATTCATGAGACTTGCTGGTATGACCTCCTAAAGAAGCATTAGCCTTCCACTTCCTGTTTCCTGCTTTCCCAGGTTAGCAGAGCCTTGGGGAATTCCAGAGTGAATCTGCAGGTGACACATATGATAGAACTATCCCACTAGCTCATTAACATGTAGACATCTATATAAGCTAGAAATAAACTCTTCTCTTCTTATACCCTCTTCCCTGGCCTCTTTGGTACAACATCAAGGCTTGTGTCTGACTAATGCAGTGCTAACCCTCACCTCCAGGCTTTGCTTGGTTGCTCAGCTGGCTCCTTCATTCCTATCCTGAGAAAAAATGCTGAAATCTGGGACTTACTCTAGTGTGATGAATGTGTCATAAGGGAGGAGCAAGAGGGAAGTGGCAGGTTCCGGCCAGACTTCGTATGTTCAGTCTTAATTCTCTGGGCAGACTGGACCTTCTCATTCATCAGTCTACTGTGAGGCTCGGGCAGGGAATTCTGATGGCTGGGACACCCCAGCATTCCTCTCCTGTTTTATGATTTTCTTTTAAGGATCTACCTCAAGATCACTTTTGGTCAATGTAGAGCACTCCATAAAAATGCACCTGGAACCAGGTGTGGTGGCGCATTCCTGTCATCCCAACACTTTGGGAGGCTGAGGCAGGAGGAACACAAGTTCAAGCCCAGCTTAGGAAACACAGCAACTTAGTGAGATCCTACATCAAAGTAAAAAATTTAATAAGGGGTAGGGATGTAGGTCAGTGTGAAGGCCCTGAGTTCTATGCCTAGTACCATTTTAAAAAGATATGTCTGTGACTTGTTTAATCTTGTATAGGAAGACATGCAAGTCTGGGAAAGATTTTCATGCAGGATGAAGTTTATGTTCACAGATCCCTACAAATAGGGTTGCATGGGGAAGTACCAGGAATGATCAGGAGACAGGAGAAGGTGAATGACATGGGCTGGAGACTTTAGGAGGTTGTTGTGGGTTATTCGGGAACCTTGGGTAGGTTTTGGATGGTTTAGATCACTTGGGTGGGTCCTGGTTACAGGGGTAGTCCCCACTTGTCCTGCAGGTGACCCTTGGGTGTTTTAAGGCAGGGGAAATATTGACTTTGTGTTTGATAGAAGAGATACAGTCACTTCCTCTTACCCATGGTTTTGCTTTCTATGGTTTCATAGACCTATGTCAACTACTGTTCAGAAATATTAAGCCTAAAGGTTCAGAAAGAAACAGTGCATCCATGTTAAATTGCATGCTATTCTTAAGAGTGATGAAACCTTTGTATCCTGTGACATTCTACCCAGCGTGGGAATCATTTTTGTTTCTTTGCTTTTTTGAGACAGTGTCTTGCTATGTAGCCCAGATTGGCCTCAAATTCCCTGTGGTTCTCCTGCCTCAGCCTCCCAAGGCCTGGCATTACAGGTGTGTGACAACATGCCTGGCTGGGAATCATTCATTTGTCCCATGTATCCGTCCTGTATATGCTACCCTCCCATGAGTCACTTAGTAAGATGTCAGGTGTCACATCACTTGTCATGAGATCACCACTTTGAAGGAATCCTTATTTTTTTTAAGGAATCCTTATTTTACTTAATAATGGTCTGAAAGTGAAACAGTAGTGATATGCCAGAGGACACTGAATATGCTCCCTGTAAGTGAAAAGGTAAGTATTTTTAGCTTTTGTAGTTACTATTTGTTTTTGTTTTTTTGGAGACAGGATTTCACTATGTAGTCCAGGCTGGCCTTGAGTTTGCTGCAATCTTCCTGCCTCAGCCTCCTGAGTGCTGGGATTACAGGAATGTGCCACCAGGCCTGGCTCAAGCTGAATATTTATCATAGGTGTGTAGATATAGAAAAAATGTGGTAGATGTAGGAGTTGATTTTTTAACAGAAAAATAAAACAAGATTTCATAATCAAATAATAAGAGAATTACAATAGTTAATACACTACGTGTCATTATCTTCAAAGTAGTTACTCAGAGTATGAAACATAAACCAAAAAGATTTTTTTTTTTGGTACCAGGAATCGAATGCAGGACCTCGCACTTGCCAGGCAGGCATTGTGCCACTGAGCTATATCCTCAGCCCCCAAAAAGATTCTTACAAAAAAGAAACAAACAACAATACAAAACTTTTGTTTCAGCAAATGTAGCGGTTGAGTCTATCTATGGTTTTGAGGCCACTAAGGAAGCAGCCCACCTGGGAGTTGCTTTTGGATCTGATCCACTTTCTGAGTTAAATAGTACCCAGAGCCAGAATGCCCAGGACTAAACACAGTGGGTGGAAGTAACTGGGTGATTAAATTTCTCCATAGCCTTGGCCTCCCAGCCCTAATTACCATGCCACTGACTATGTAGATTTGACTCCTCCCCCACAGGGGTGTGGCACCGTGACAGTTCCTCCAAGGGCCATAAAAGGTAAAAACTCCCTGAGGGAGGGGCAGAACTAAGCTGCTCTTTGGCAAGAGCCAAACCTCAGATCAACCCCTCGATCCCACCCCAAACTCACCCCTCCTTCTACACCAGGGAGCATACAGGTCCTTCAGCACCGAGCTCGTCTCAGGGGCCCCTCCAACCCTGGGGACTGCGATTTCATTTTCAAATAAATCTTTGATCTTGTTACTCCATGGGGTGACCTACTCAGCTCTTTGTTCAGGACATCCAGAACCTGGACAAGACCCCAAATGGAAGTTTCATATACCCACTGGGGTGCTGGAACTCCTGCAGAGTTGTGGCCCCTGTGGCTGAGGGTGTGGGCTCTGGGCAGGTCAGTGTGTGTATCAGAGGCGTTGGAGAGGGCTGTCACTTGTGGTCACTTGTGGCTCCTGAGAATGAGCTTATTCAGGACGTGCGGTGTCTCCAGGGTCATACAGGGCCTCAAATATCAAAGCATCATTTTAGTAACAAAGGAAAAGCTGGGGGTCCTGGCACACACCTGTAATTCCAGCACGTGGGAGGCTAAAGCAGGAGGGTTGAGAGTTTGAGGCCAGCGATTGGGGCAGGGGATGCTTTCTCCCTGCTAGGGTTGCAAGGCTGTTGGGATGTAAGTCAGGAAGGACAGGGACATCTTTCCTCAAAGGGTGAGGGTTGGCCTGAGAATGTAACTACCACAGAGCCAGAGAGAGTTAGCAGGTGGCCATATGTCCCTCAGACTCGGTCTTCAAGTCGACCTCTGTTCCGAGCTATAAATTCTGCCCTCCCCGCATTTTTTTTTCTGGTCCCACCGTTGCAGGGCTCCATGGGTATAAACAGTGTGCTTCATGGGCTCCTCCGCTTCCCTCCTGCCCCTCCCCGATCCTCCGCTGTCCTTCCCCTTCTCCTCCCCCACCACCTTCCTCCTCCTCCTCCTTCTGTGAACCCAGGTCCTTCACACTGAGCTACATCCTCAGGATTTCTGTGTTTTATTTTGAAACAGGATCTCACTAAATTGCCCAGGCTGCACTTGAATTTGTGACCTTCCAGCTTCAGTCTCTCAAGTAGTTGGGATTACTGGTGTGCCGACTACACCCAGCCTCACAGCTACTTTTTATCCAGGTGGATGGCTTAATGCTCAACTGTCTAACCTGTGACCAGGTGTCCCTCTCATGGGAAATTCATACGTCATCCTGGCCCTGGGGCTCTTGTCTGAATAGTGTCTAGCTGATTCCTACCTATACATCCACTCTCCAGGAGCACCCTGAGCAGCAGATAAACTAGGCTCAAGTAAGGCATGGTGGTGCACGCCTGTCACCCCCACAGTCTGGGAGGCTAAGGCGGAAAGACTGCAAGTCTGAGGCCCGCCTGTGAGACCCAGAGCAGTCATTCAGCCCTCAGTGGTACCCAGAATCAGTCAGCTAGCTTCCTGTGACTGAAACCAATATCCAGGCCAATCAATTTAAAAAGAGAAAAGATTTTGCCAGATATGGTGGTGCATGCTTGTCATTCCAGGACTTTGGGAGACTGAGGCAGAAGGATCACAGATTCTAACCCAGCCCGAGCAACTTAATGACTTTGCAAGTTGAGCATGGTAGCACATGCCTGTAATCCCAGCACTTGGGAGGCTGAGGCAGGAGGATCGCCATGAGTTCGAGGTCAGCTTGGGCTTCAGAGTGAGTTCAAGGCCAGCCTAAACTGCAGAGTGAGACCCTGTCTCAAAAATACCAAAATGCCTTAGCAAGACTGTTTCAAAATTTAAATAATAATAAAGGTTTTTTTGTTTGTTTTTTTTTTTAAATGAGAAAGATTTGTTTAGGCTGGTAGTTTGGGAGATTTCAGTCCATGCTTGTTATGGCTTGTATCTAGATGTCCCCCCAAAGCCTCATGCAGTTATAGGTAAGGCTTTTTCAGAGGTGGCTGGATGTAGAATGTGTGATTAATCTATGGTGCAATGCTAGGATCTAAGGTACTAGGATTAAAGGTATGAATGCTACCTGCCCTATGTAGCCTGGATAAAATATAAGGAAGAAAAAGAGCTGTAGTCATCCCTTGCCTGCTTGCTTGCTTGCTTTGCTACCTTCTGCCTGCCATGAACTGTTTCGCCTCTATAATTCCTGTCTGCCACACTCCTGCCTTGGAGACAGCTGATCATGGACTGAAACCTCTTCAAATTGTGAGCTAAATAAGGCTTTTACCCTTTAACTTTGGGTGTTGGGTATTTTATCTCAGTAATGAGAAAAGTAACCAAGACAATGTTGGAGTAACTCATTGCTTTGGGCCTCTGGGGGTGTAGGAAGGTGGTAGGGTTCAGGAAGGTAAATCTTGGTGTAGCAAAACACCCAGTGCATGAGCTGGGGTGCAGTTCAGTGATGAGTTCTTACCTAGCTTGGGAGACACCATAGCTTCCATCCCCAGTACTGCAAAAACAAAACAAAACAAAAAAAAAACAACCAAAAAAACCCTACAAATAACCACCTCCTGGCCAGAAAGTAAAGAGGGACAGGAACAGGAAGTGGTAGGGCCTCAGGGTGCCTGCAAGGCCATGCCCCACAACGACCTAAGACCTCCCCCTGGGCCCCGCCTCTTAAAGGCTCCACCACCTCCCAATAGCATCCCAGGCTGCAGACCAAGTCTCCAGCTCATGGGTGTCTGGGTGCACTCAGGATCCAAGCTCTGGCCACAACACAGTGTTCAGTATCACAGACTCATGAGTGAGACAGTGACCTTCATCCTCTGCACTCTCAAGCCCTCCAGGAGCTCACAGAAGGGCTGCAGAGATACATTCTTCTGTGCCTCTGATGCTTCTGTGTTTTGTTTCTGTTTTCAGTGCTTTGGATGGAACCCAGGCAGGACCTTGTGCATGCTTAGCAAGTGCTCTTCCACTGAGCTACATTTCCAGCCCTTTTGTTTTTATTTTGAGACAGGACCTCACTAAGTTCCCAGGGTGGCTTTGAACTTGGCGATCCTCCTGCCTCAGCCTCCTGAGAAATTGGGATCACAGCTGCGTGTCACAGTGCTTGGCTCTAGATCTGTTTATAAATCACTCAGCCTAATATTCTGTGTTAGCCACCGAAAATATAGTGAGATGTTTTTGCTTTCTCTTTCTAGCAAAGTTTTGCAATGATCTCACTGAGCAGTGGATCCTGGGATTTTTACTGGGTGAGTGCGGCCAGCCCTGCCCACCAAGTGCTTGACAAGGCAGCATGGAGACAGAGAGGGAGAGACACAGTGTTGCCCAGGACGGCCTCACCCTCCGCCTCCCTGCTTCTCTAAAATCTGTAGAAGCAACTCTCCCGCCACCCTGATCCCCTCTTGCTCCTCTCCCACCTCTTCCAGGCGGGGACAGAGAAGATCTCATGGACTCTGAGGCACAGGAAGAAGGCGGAGCCACAGATAGGGGAGCCGGGGTTTCCAGAGCAGCAGAGCTGCCCACCATCTGAGAAAGCAGCACTTATTCAGTGTGTCGATCCTCGTGTGGGGGATGCTTGTTCCCACCATCTGGGTCCTTACCCCACTGCACAACTCTATTTTACTTTTATTTTTTATTCTTTTGTGGTGCTGGGGCTTTAAACCAGTACTCTTGGTTTTGTTTTGTTTTGTCTTGTAGTACTGAGAATTAAACTTGGAGCATTCACACTAAGCTCCATCCCCAGCCCTTTTTTATTTTATATTCTGAGACAGCCTCACCAAGCACTAAGTTGTCTAGGATGGGTTTAAGCGATCAGTCTTCCTGCCTCAGCCTCCCAAAGTCCCAGCT